AGGTATGAATTGTAGCATGCATTTTGTATAAAATATTCCATTTTAACATTTATTTTATTTATTTATATCAAATGGAAGGCTTTTTGGTAGTCACCATTAGCCCTTTAGTTGACTTCAGGCTCCACAGAGGGGAAGGATCAACAGAGTGAAAAAAGTCGAGAGGAGGGGGGTGGGGGGTGGGGTGAAATAAAAGAGTGTTTCAAAGATGTCAAAGAGACCGACACGAAGGTTGAAAAAGGTGATGCAAGTAATGTGAAAGTTGTCAAATATGACATACAGTGGGGTCATGGTAGTTTGAAGTCAACTACCAGTTAATAGACTTTTTTGGCGTATGAGTATACGTTGCCCAGGGTGCACCACGTGGAGGTAAGTCTATCGTACACCCCCCCCCCATTTTAACATTAAAACTACTGGTGTATTGATCAGGGTACGGAGATTATCCAGATCAGACTTCCAAAAGCAAAACATATTTACTAGCTAGGTATTGTTAGTTTGCAGTCGGGAGCGACGTAGGCTGCTTGTCAATAGAGACGGTGGGTTGTCTAAAGATAAACTTAGGGAATTGATTAGCCAGTGGGAAAATGGCTCTTCTATCTATTGTTTTTCTTCTAGTGACCTATCAACATGACTAAGCATATGGCTTTCTTGACGTAGAAATTACAAACATTATTTACGCCATATGATTGGGTCTTTGAGGACAAGCTCAATTGCCAATAGTATTAATTTGCAAAGTGAGAAGCTTATATTGGACAAATGGTAACATCATGTCACTTCAATACTTGTCCCAGTTTAATTAAGGTTTGAAGGTGTATGCTTATTCAACTGCCCTCTTGTGATTGATAAGGAGATGGAACTTTCACCTAGAAACTATATATGCAAAGATGTTTAAGCCTGATCGAGGTCTGTCGATTGGCCCAGTATTACTGATTGCACGAAATTCGAAAAACGCCAAACAATCAGCAATCGATTTTACAGGAGACATAATTAGCGTTAAGCACTTTTCACTTAAAGCGATTAGTCTTTGTATTATGAGCACAGTCCAACTAATTTTGAGAATAAATCCAGACTTGAGAACTCTTCTGGAGTCTAGATTTGTTTAGCTGAAACTGATTGTACCTCCAAGAGACTACTCAGGGTTTTACAAGGTTAAGGTCAGATAAACTTCTTAAGATAATCGAACTCATGACTCATTCATGACTTTTTAAAGATGGAATGAATGGAAATAGCAAGATCAGCCGATAAATAAATGTCATTTATTATGAATGTCCGATCAATAGTCCAATTGATAAGTTATGTTACTTGAATTTCGGAATGTCAATGAGCTGTTAGTTAATGAATCTTCTTTAATTCAAACTCAAATAAGATAATGCATTCCTTCCGTGTGTCTTTTTGATCCACTCTATATTTTCTTGTGGAACTTTACTAATCCAACTTCATTTAAAAAAATTTAGAATTGTTCTGCTATTGTCGGATTTCAGTAGTTTTAAAAAACGATTTTCGCCATCATTCGCTCAACTTCCCCTATTTTAGACATATCTGTTCTTCTAAAAGCTTCACTTTAGAAAACGAATATATTCCTGAATTCTAACGTGGGATTACTAATGTCCTAAAAAGTTGCCGATTCTGTAAATTCAAGAATACCATATTTTATTTTACTCATTGTTTGGGGTGTGCGATAGACTTACCTCCACGTGGTGCACCCTGGGCAACGTATATTCATACGGCAAAAAAGTCTATTAACTGGCAGTTGACTTCTCACTTCAAACTACCATCACCTCACTCTATGCCATATTCGACTATTTCCACAGTACTCTTCTTACCTTTTCTCTTACATCTTTGAAATACTCTTCTGCCCCCCCTCTTGGCTTTTTTCAATTTGATGTTCCTTCTCCTCTGTGAAGTCTGAAGTCAACTAAAGGGCTAATGATAACCATCAAGACGCCTGCCATTTGATATAAATAATTTTACTCATTGCGGATAGCTCTTTTTTGGTACATTTTAAAGCAAGTAGCTATTTTAAACATCTAATAGCAGTCAATAAGGCATCAAGTGCAGCGAAACTATGGAACAATAATTTGCAAATTTCATTTTCACTTGATCAAAATTGATATCTAAACTTTTATTGACAATCAAGTCCATTTTTTATTGTATATTAACTTATTTCTCCTATTTTTTCTTACTTTTGTTTAAATTTATAGCATAGAGCAGAATTTTTTATTCAATTTGGGCAGGAAAACACAACGGAGGTCAAAAATGCAGCACATTGGAATTGGCGCGTTTCCAAAGCTAAACTGATGGGCGTAGATTTGCCATCAGCGCTAACTGCATCGATACGAGCCCCTAAAATTATTAATTATTAAAATAAATGGAAAAAAGTAAACACAAAAAGATCTGGTTTTCAGAATTAACATACCATGTTCGACCAAAATTTTACAGACATCTAAATATCCAAATTGAGATGCTGACATCAGTGGAGTAAGTCCTTCTAAATTGTAACTGTCTACCGCTGCCCCGTATCTCAGCCATTCCTTCACCATTCTCGGATTACCCCGACTGGCGGAAATATTTAGAGGTGGATCAATGTCCCGCAAAGTGAAGTGAAGACTGGCGCCCGCTTCCATTAGCGGAGCTATAAATTCACCTCCATCGCACTTTGCAACTGTTGCACAGGCCACATAAAGTGAAGCTACTTTGACTACAGGCAAGTCTACTCGCGTTAGCATAACTTTAACCAGGCCATATTGCCGCTAACCAAAAGTTGGTTGTATTAGTAACTGCACTCACATCTTACCATTTCGATGGCCATATTAAGAGCACTTTCATATTTCGGGTTAAGTGAATAGGGTGAGGCCCCTTGGTGGATTAAAAATTCAGCTATTGCGATGTGATGCCTCTTCAGAGCCAACATTAAAGGTGTGAAGTGACTGGAATTGAAGAGTTCCAACTGACATCCTTGATTTACAAGTTGAATCACACCTTGCATGAATCCACTTTCTACTGCGTGGTGCAAAGGTGTATTGCCAAACACGTCAGGTTGGTTTAAAATTCCCACATTCAAGGTATGCTCGAACATCAAATCGAGACGATTGAGAATCGTTGCTTCAATAAGGGGTGTGGAACCGTAGCCTCTGCGCTGTCCAACTTCATTTTCAGACTACAAAATAGACGACTCTTATTTGAAAATTTAAACCACTGAATAATGACTAAAATATCCACTTTCTAACAAGATAATAAAGTTGGATAAAGTAAGCTTACTGGTAAAGGAAGCATTGACACACAATAAAAAAGCCTTTTTTCAAGTGAATTTATATTAGTTCAAAGTGAATGAAGAGTTACCTTACAATTCAAGTACCATGTGATATAAGCTCGATTTTAAATTTAAATTTCAAAAACATCCTTATGACGGAAGCTGCTTTTTTTTCAAATTTTCAAAATTCGTTATGAGATGAGTTGCGTTATTGGTGAAAGGTATTGCTTATAAAATTGTCTTTCGCTGATTGAGGCGATTTGCTGTGGGTTAAAGTTCGTCATTTTGGGGCACATTGTTAATCTCCTACTGATTCCCATAGTTTATCAGACCAATCTAAAATTTTTAAATCTATCTCCACGTGTTGCAACCTTGACCAGCGTATAATTATAAGGCAAAAATGCCTATTAACCGACAGTTGACTTCAGACTATCACGACTCCATATTATGTCATATCCGAACACTTCCACAGTATTCCCCCCCTTGCCTTTTTCATAACCTTTACACCTGTTTGTCTCTTTCACACACCCTAAGATTGAAGTACTGAAATTCGCCTTAAGCAGACTTTTAATCTTTCCTTTTCAAACTCATAAGTGATGTTGTAATGGCGTCCCCTTCTTTTACCTTACCTCATTCTCAGCCTATTACCATTACTTAACTTCGTCTTTCATTCGAGAAGTACTCCTGCATTATGCAACTTTCCTGAAAGACCATAAGTTCTATTAAGTGATAACCAACCTGATTTGAACCAGATTTTAGAGCATCTTTCCTTTGGTTGGTGCTCGGAATTTGGGAATTATTAAATATAAGAATTTGCGAGTAGCACCTTCGCGAATATGTATATATTACTCGTTTTAGATCTCATTAACATGATATAACTTGACATGTTGAAGATTTTGATCATTGCAAAGTTAAAGCCTGCAAATTAGATTAAGTGTTTGCAAGTTCCAAATGATTTATCACACAAAAATAGATGGGGCTCCATTTTCACCTAGTAGATTGAATTAAATCCATGCTGCATCTTATTTTTTTCATTAAAATGTTTTAAATTATCTGCTCTACAAAGCAGTGGAAATATACGTAGAATATACTTATCAATTGGACGAAATGTTATTAGCCAAAAGGTGTGAAGTCAATTACTACTTTCAATAAATTTGATCAATAGACTTTAAGACAGATCCCGATTGGTTTAACAAATAATATTATTTATATAAAATGGCAGGCGTTTTGATGGTTACCATTATCCCTTTAGTTGACAACAGGCTTCACAGAGGTGAAGGATAATCAAAGTGAAAAAAAGTCGAGACTGGGGGGGGGAACAGAAGAGTGTTTCAAAGCCAAAAATAGGTGTGCGTCGAGTACTGTGGAAGTAGTGGAATATGATATAGAGTGGGGTGATGGTAGTTTGAAGTGAGAAGTCAACTACTGGTTAATAGACTTTTTGCCGTGTGAATATACGTTGCCCAGTGTGCACCACGTGGAGGTAAGTCAATCGAACACCCCTTAGCAAATAATATAAATTTGAACGAAACAGAATTTCTATACAAATCGACTATGCAATTACCACTTTCGATGACGCTATTGACAATATTGCCTATAAACCCGAAAGCGCAAATAAGCAGAAATTTCATATAATAAATTCACGATGGAATATGATGCAGTAGATTGAGAATTATTCTACAGCTTCGTTTCTATTCGCTTGAAAGAAGGTCAAATCTTAAATATTGTAACGGTGCATGTATTCCTAGTTTATTTAACCTTCATGAAGACAGGTGTCTTTTAAGAAAAAAATCAATCATGTGTAATTTGCCCATTATATGATAACTTTTGCATTTCACTGAAGCATGATAAAAGCATACTGAGAGAAATAATAATAATAATAAGGTAAGTTATAATTTTCCAGCAAGTGTATTAATTGATTTACTTTAAATTTACAATTAAAAATTTTATTTGATCACAAAATGGGTACAATTAATATAGTAGAGTTCATTTTCTCATTTAAAGAAAATGCAATATCTAAAAAAGTAGCCCTGCTGAAATCAAATAAATACAGAGTGCCTCTTTACGGAGAGAATACTCTACTGTGCATGGGCCACGGAAGCGGTTAATAAATTGACACAATTGAGGTGATTACCTTGGAGGGCCAAACTGAGGGCCGTATTTTGACCATCGGAACTGACTGCCTTCACAAGTGCGCCTAAAATCAATCATTTAAACGCAATTATTAGTAGCTTGAGACCAATTCTGCCAGGAAGCAGGTAAGTAAATAGTAATCAATAGCTTTTAAAATTTTTCGGAGACTTAGCTTACCACGATTAATCAAGACTTGACAAATTTCAAAATGACCGCGTGAAGAAGCCCTCATCAAGGGCGTTAAACCACCCGAATCGTAGCGCTCTATTGGTGCCCCGTGTTCCAACCACATTTCCACCATTTCAAGATTACCACGACTGCAAGAAATATTGAGTGGTGGATCAACGTGATTGAATGGGATATTTAGATTTGCTCCAGCGTTGAGTAGTAAATCGATGTATTCGATTAGATTCCATTGAGCAACCTTTGAACAAGCAGAATAAAGTGCTGGCATTTTCATGTGAGGAACAGCGTCTTGTTCCAGCATAATGTCAATCAGATTAATTTGGAGCTAAATAGAAATAAATTTCAAAAATTGAGCAACATATTACCATTTCGATAGCCATATTAAGGGCGCTTTCCACTTTCAAGTTAAGGGAATAAGGTGAGGCACCTCTGTCAATTAACATTTCGGCAATTCCGATATGATGCTTTTTCAGGGCCAACATAAGAGGTGAGAGATGATCTATATTGAACAGTTCCATTTGACACCCATGATTTGTGAGTAAGTCCACTCCATGTGTAAATCCCGTGTCCACCGCATAATGCAGAGGTGTATTGCCAAGCTCATCTGCCTTATCTAATAGTTCCAGATTAGTGACATGTTGTAGAATTAAATCAGGACGATTCATGATTGTGGCCTCGATGAGGGGTGTTAATCCTAGGGTAAAATTCTGTTTTGATGCGTTAAATCGTTTGATATCTTTCAGTTACCTGGTAGCTAGGTCGAAACTTGTTTCCATTTTCAGCCTACAAAGGAAATAGTTTTTACCTCTTCTGTTATTAATTTAATTGACGTAATTGAATACATATAAAAATGAAATCCTGATTATATGGGAACACTACAAAAGAAAAAAGCTATAAAAGCTTAAATTTTGTGGGATCTGAAATTCTTAGAAAATTACAGGCGAATGAGACATTGACGCGGAATAAATAAATCGTAGTTCACTAAGTGAATAGTTACAGTCGATTCACTCAAAAGTGAGATTAATTTAGATTTTAAATAAGAACAAATCAAATTAACCTCTACTCAGCACGTATTCTATTAACTTAGATCTAGCCCACATCCTAGCCATGCTAATTAAAATAAAGTTGAATTGCTTATTCCCATTTTTTGAAACCCCGTGGCGTGGTTTTGCATTATTTTTCTGATTTTGAAAGTGGTGTATTACTTTGATGGCTTCAATACTAGCATATGCAACGGAGCGTTTATGTTTGTCATCACTAATTCATGATAACCATAAACGGTTCGATTAATATTTATCAAAATGTCATGCTCATTTCATAATGTTATATCATGGGGTGTGCGATAGACTTGCCTCCACGTGGTGCACCCTGGGCAACGTATACTCATACTGCAAAAAAGTCTATTAACTGGCACTTGACTTCAAACTATCATCACCCCACTGTATGTCATATTGGACTACTTTCACGGTACTCACCTCGACTTTTTTCTATCTTTGTGTCTATCTCTTTTACATCTTTGAAACACTCTTCTATTAGCCCCCCCCCTTCTCGATTTTTTCACTTTGATGTGCCCTTCCCTCTGTGAAGCCTGAAGTCAACTAAAGGGATAATGTTAACTAATAAAACGCTTGTCATTTGATATAAATATAAATGTTACATCATGATTTTTGTTAAAGTCCCTTTACTTCTACTTGACACTATAAAGCCTTCATGTTACAAGTAAAGTAAGAGTCAGCCCTATTCAAAGAATAATTTAAGATCAACAGCTATCAGAGGATTGTCTTTAAATAGGCCAAAGTATTTCATGATAACATTGTGCTCTCGTTATAAACCCAATTCGATTTTATGCCCAAATTCTTGAATTCCACGAAACTCCAATTATGACTTGGCGCTATGTGTTCTAAGATATTTCAAGTATTTCCCCATTCGGCGGGGGTGGGGGAGGGGGGAGATTGTCATTCCAGACGTGTTCTTATCGCATCAAATTCAAACTTGTAGCGGATTAGCTACCTCAATAACCTTGACTATTCTCAGAAAGCTCTATAGCAGTTTCTTCCAACTCGAAAGTCCCCGGGAATTAGCTAAGCTAAGACAAAGTTATAAAGGAAACTGACGTGTAGCACGGAATACGTTTATTCAGTACGAGTATTGCGGATTTAGTGTACACGCAGGAAGCTTAATCATGATCTGGATGGCGGATTAGGTTAAACAAACAGTGGTTAATGATTGGTCACTGTTTGTACGGTCGCACCTCCCATTCCTGGCGTGCAGGCATGCGATGACGTGTCCCACAAACTCGTCTGTGGAACCAAGTGCTCAAGTTATTCAAAAAATTAAAAGCCT